GGCTGGGACAGGCACTCTTGCTATTCGTAGATCAATTGCCCTTCAGCCCTCCCCTCGCATCTGCACACCCGCCCGCCTGCTCCAGCCCCAGTCAACGCGACCCTGCCGCGTCCTCAGCCATTGGAAGCTCTAGCGCCAAGCCGACGTGGTCGCTTCCTCTAGCTGTTCCCCAACTTTACCTTCCCTCTACATCATCACCTCGCCTGCCCACCAATCCGCCCACATACACACACACCCAATAAGTCCCCCGCGGCTTGCCCACACACCACACACATCCAATGTCTGAAGCACAAACTCGGCCTGCGCGAGGCAGGAGCTCTGCCCGCGGCGGCAGGGCATCATACGGCTCCCGGGGCCCCAGAAAGACCAACGGCGACAGCGCGTCCTCCAACATTGACACATCGGCAGACCAGGGCGAACTGGGCGAGCTTAAGAAGCGCTACCAGTCACAGCTATCCACACTGAAGGAGCTATTCCCCGACTGGACCGACGCCGATCTCGTTCTCGCAATCGAAGAATCTGACGGCGACCTGCAGACCACCATCGAGAAGATCAGTGAGGGTAAGCGACTGCAGCTACGACCTACACGCACGTGATAACATTACTAACCACTGCAGGCGCCGTCTCACAATTCTCAGAAGTCCCAAAGAAAGCAAAGGACAGGTCCCGCTCCAAGGCCAAGGAGAACGTCCCCCTCGATGGCGCGTCCAGCCTGCGTGGCCGGCCCGACGGAGCCCGTCGTGGAGTCGATAGCGGTCGCGGCGGCCGTGGCGGACGAGGCACTGATCGTGGTCGCGGTGGAATTCGTGGCGGTCGTGGAGGCGCCGCCGGTGGACCTCGTACGGCTGCTGGATCAGTCCCGACTACCGAGTCCGCTGCATGGGACACGCCCACAGTGCCAGAAGAGTCCAAGGAGACCAAACAGGACGACGAGACCGTACACGCGCCTGAAGCGACCCCCGAAGCCATAAAGCCTGTCGTAGAGGCTACCATGACAGCCGCGAAGAAGACTTGGGCGAGCATGTTTGCTGCACCCAAGCCCGTCCCCGCCGTCCCCAAGGCAGCTCCGAAGCCCGCCGCGGCTGCTGCCCCCGAAGTGCCCTCACAAGTACCCGACGAGACGCCCGCGCACCAAGTTGCCCAAGAGCCCGCTGTGCAAGCAGAAGAACTGCCTATACCCCCTGTTGCAGATGAGGCTGTCCAGACACCGCCCATCACCGCCGAAGATACGTCCAAGATGACGCCGGACAAGAGTGTGGATGGCGCCCCTGACGTCACCCTCACACCCTCCGGAGATCAACTCACGCAAGAGAATGTCGAGCACCTGCCTGACACGTCCATTCCACCCAAGACGGAGACAGCTTTCAGCACTGTCGCAAGCTCGAAGGATGTTGGAAGTGCTGTAGCGACCCCCTTGAACGGTCCTACACAGGCACCCATCGGTCGCCCCGCTATTGGAGGATTCCAAACGACCGCACTAAAGGCGACTTCTGGAACCCCGAACCGAAGCGCAAGCTACCAGAGGAGGTTGATGGAGCAGCAGGAGGCCGTGGTCATGCCCGGAGACCGCGCCGTGGACAGGGCAGCAGTCCAATTCGGTAGCATGGGATTGGGCGATGGCTCGGATCCAGATGTCGACGAAGACAGGGAAGAGGCGGAGACGAGGACACAGCCGCCCCAGCACTCTCCCGTCGCGCAGCCCAGGGCTTCTCTACCTCCCGCTCCCCGCCAAGCATCTCAAGATGCCCCCCAACAAGAGGCCGCTCCTACACCAAAGCAGGCCCCTGGACTGCCTCCTGTGCCCCAACATCAGCCCGGCCTACAGCAGTCTCCCTCGAACCCGCTTGCATCCCAGGCTATGCAGAACCAAGGATCTCAGTCGAACCAGCCATACAACCAGTTTGCTAGGTATGGTCAATCAGAGGCCTCCGCTCCACCGCAGAAGCCATACGATCCATTCGGCCAGCAGATCCCGCAGTCGAACCACTCGCAGTCGCAAAACTACGACTACCCCGGCCAGCAAAGCCAGGCCCCATCCCAGCCTGGTGCCTTCTCGTCTGCCCCAGACGGTTACCCCTCCAACTACCTCACTGCCGAACAACGCGCGCAATACCAGAACTACTATGGAAGCTACGGTCAGCCCATCGCACAAAGCCAGCAGGAGGCTGGTTCTGCTCAGCAGCGCACTGGCAGTGCCTTTGGCTCTGGACCTGCTGACTCTGCTTATTCGCAGAGCCAAATCCCACAGGTAAGTGGTCTCTCTAAAGGTCTGAAACAGCTCGTCAAACTCAAAACCGATAATCATGCCGACCAATCTGAACCATCTCATGTGAATGAGAAACTCTGGGCAGAGATGGCACATGACACGGGCAGAGTAAGGACAGCAGCTAAGACAGAACTCTACATCTTCTCGCATTGTATACTGACAGACTTGTAGACCCAGAGCCGTTACGGCGATGCTCAGAACAGCGGACACAACACTCCCAACCCCGCCGCCATGGCTGGCCAACAAGGACATGCCGCTCAAGGCCAGCACGCGCACAACGCGCACAATGCAGGCTACCCATACAGTCACCCGTACTATGGCAGCCCCTACTACGCTAACTACGTGAACCAATTCGGTGGTTATGGTCAGGGAGGAGCCGGCTATGGTTCGTTTGGAAAGGGTGGCATGTACAACCAGCCTCACTACGGCATGTCTCCTCAGGCTTCATTCGACCAGCACTCGTCGTCCCCCGCCAATGCAGGTGGCTTCGGCGCTTCCTCTTTGCATGATCGCGGTAGCGGTATGGGCGCAGGCTTCGGCGACTACGGTCGTTCAGCCTCTGGAGCTTCTCAGAACCCCAGCGCCACTGCCGGCGCTGCTGCATTTGGCGCCATTCCCGATACCATTACCCGACCAGGAAACTTCCACCAGAGCTCCTACGGACAGCAGGGTAGCCAAGGTTTCAACGACGACGCCCTGAAGCCCTCCAACGACTACAAGAGCGGTGGACCCAGCCCAGCGGCTCTTGGTGCTCAGCCTGGTCGCCCCGGCTCTGCCAACCAGAGTACTCCCGGACAGAGCGGTCCCCAACACTCCCAGCAAGGCTACGGCAACTACCCGAGCCACCTCGGCAACAGCCAGTACGGCGGTCTCGGTGGTCTGGGTCACCAGAACTCCGGCAACCACCAGCAGCAGAGTGGCTACGGCAACTACGGCGGCTTTGGCGGAGGATATGGCGGCGGCAGCTACAACCGCGGAGGCTGGGGCGGAAACTACGGCCAGCACTAGTGTCCGTCTTATGCAAATACAGGACGATTGAGAGGCTTGACGCGTTGTTAAGAGGAATATGGCCTAGTCATATCATCATGATGAGCTGGTACGACACGAGGTCATTGTTTTCTTTCTCACGTCCACTTTGAGTTGGCTGATGGCACGAAAAGCATGTTTCCATGATACGCTTTGATAGGCCTCAGATTTTGTATTATGACAATCTCCTTTCTTCTCCTCTTGTTCCTCTCCTCTTGCATCCTCTCTTTTTCCAAGGTTCCATGTCACAATCCAATTGGGTCAACTTACGTGCTCAGTCGCGAGGCGTTTTGTAAATCCGCAAGGGAGGGATAAACTCAAAAAGATTCTTGTTTTGTTCTGGATTTTGCTTGTAGTTGGCTTGTTTCCCTTGTCTCCGGTACTTTGAGAAAGGGAAACTACTGTATTAGGGTATGGGTTAGGGAACTTGGGGGGCAAAGAGCAAATCCAGGTAGCTCGATGGCGTTCACAGTTGGGCTGCTACAGCTGAGCAATGCATATCGTTGAACATGACGCAAGATTGCGCTTCCTCTTGGCTTTGATGGTGAACTCATGTCGTGCTTGTCGTAGCTTAACAGTAGGTCGGATGCTTGGCACAGGGTCGGGCCTAGCAGATGCAGGTACGTACCGTTTCCTGGCCGCCTAGAAACCGGCGATCCTCCCTCCACTTTTTTTCTTCCAACATCTCCCGATGTTTGCTCGCGCATGCAACGTTGACGCAAACTTGGAGACCTTGCAGGGCCCTTAGCAAGGAAATTCTCTTCTCCTGACCATCGCGCGCGCTATGACACACTGCGCTCAGGCCAGGGCATGTATTCCGAGTCGTTTCCGAAAGGGCCGATAGAAAGCAGTTTATGCAAGTGATCGCGGGTCGGCCGGCCTTGGAACGGCGTGCGTTCACGTTATCAGGGTCTTGCGCGATAGCAGGCTTTTTCTCATTCGATATGACGAGAGATTTGGCGGGATGTCGCGATGCGTTGTCTTCGTGTATAGACATCGCTGCTTGCATCAACGCCCTTGCTTTGGAAGTTTCCAGACAAAGACTACCTCGGTACCTGACTGAGATTAGAAATTGACGAAGAGCGCGATCAATAATCATATACAGCGATACAGGCACCGGCACATGTGTCAAATGTCAAATCAACGCTGCCGATATTGCTCACCGCCGCCAATATCAACGATAACGGTCTCGGAACGGTCATCCATCTATCTACGCCCGGGCGCGCTACCGGCGCCATGATCCACGACTAAGCCGTTGCAAGGATAGCAATCTGGCATCTTACCCTTTGCGGCAAAGCTGCCTCGGCGAATGCGTCAAGGTCATCATGGTGCTGGCCGGAATTTATCTTTTGGCGAGTGCACGCGTTTGTTTTCAAGCGTCCAGTTCGCAACACCTTGATGGTCTGTCGGGCACACAAGCAAAACCACGTTGCGTCTACGTTGTGCGCTGATTGACTGTGTCTTTTCTTTTTGAGTCGAGTCTTTGTCGATTGTGGAGTGTCTTGTCGGGTTTAACTGGCTGTAAGATTGGGAAGACGTGTTGTTGGCTGCAACGATACACCGATCAAGTGCAGGAGCTGACGGACGCCTACGATTATATTTCAAGAACGGAAGAACACACAGTATCCGGAAGCGACCCGACACGTTTTGCATATTTTCAACCTTCTATCCATATCGCGCAACTTCAGAAATTTGGCAAACTTCTACCATGGAGTCATCGTCCTACCAAGCCGACGCTCTCCCAGCCTCGCCATTGCTTCGCCTTCCTTTCGAGATCCGTCTCATGATATACGAGTACTTGCTTCTACCATCGACGATCCCCACGACCGGAAACGGAACGTCAGTCGCAAACTTGATCCCCGACTTCCACACATACCTTTCAGACGATACGAACAATGATGCTTGTACGTTGAGCGTACGGACTATGGATCCATGGCTAGGGTCGCAAGGCCCAAAGACGTGGAGACGAAGGAGTACATACCACATTAGAACCGGTACGTTTACACGTTCTTGAAGTAAACCTAGAAGGATAGCCTAGGATACTGCTCCTCAAAACAGCATCTTTGACTACATACTAACAAACCCACAGGCCCCTTCCTAACAACCACAACACCAACAACCTACCGCGTCCTCCTCTCGCCCTACACATCGCACCTCCGCTACACCGTCCCCTCGCTCCTCTTCTTGAACCAGCAAATCCATGCCGAAGCCAGCAAGATCCTCTACTCAACCTACACCTTCGCCTTCCACACCAGCATCGAAGCCGCCGTCCCCTTCCTCTCCGACCTGACACCCAGAAGCCGAGCGTCCATACGGCACATCAGTGTAACGAAAAAGGCCTTGCCATACAGCAAGGAATTCGACCGCGCAGAATGGGCAAGTCTATGCGAATACCTCGCTACACCCTCTTCTCCCTCCGACGATGATAGTTCCGAGGCAGTACCCCCCATCTCCCTACGCACCCTAAACCTCAACGTTATATCCGGCAAACCAGACCACGGCTGGGACGCCATCACGCCCATCACACCTTCTGATTTCGACACCATGCTACGCATGAAGAACGAGTGGCTCGGCGGTAATGGCGATTTCGGCGGCGTGGATCTGGAGTGGGTGGAGCAGGTTATGGCGATTAAAGGATTGCAGGAGGTTAATGTCAAAGCGATGGTGGAGAGGTGTGCGAGTCCGGTCAGTGAGAAACAGGCTTTTTGGATTGCGTTTAGTAAGAGTGTTGATGAGGGGGGGTTTGGCGCGTGGGTTCGGGGGAGGATGATCCGGTAGATTGGAGATGGGCTTTGGCGAGGATGCGTAGGTTCTACTTGGGTTCGGGTGGCTTTAGAGTCGAAGTCGGGGATGTATGGTAGGATTATCTTTACTCATTACAAGGTTGTTACTATCTCCACTATCAGTCCCAGTGCGCTTCTCCATCCCTCTCACCTAAGCCACGTCTTGTTTATAAATATGCGATATTCCCTCACTCTCTCACAAAAACCCACCCAGGGCACATGGCTGATTGGTAAAGCGCCTGCACACAATGACCTAGCGAACGCACGTCCAACGTAGCCCTGGCGCTCCACCGCGCTGGTTCTAGCTCTAATCAAGCACCGACTTTGTTGTCCTGGTGCTAAAGGGCCATTGACGGCAACGTCGAGCCCTTCCAGTCGCTAAGAATGCTCTTTACTGAGTATCAGAGTCCGGTCGTTGGGCGTGCAGAAGTTTGGCGAACTTAGCAACACGGGTCGCTACCGTTGGTACTGATCTTGCTAGGCCGTTCGTGAGGCACATCCCGGGAGTTAAGGTGAGACGGTGCAAACTGGCTCACTGGTCATACTGGGCGGTTCGTGTGCGGGATATGTAAGTTCGAGTCTTACTGTGTTCAAGTCCCTTATCTTTTTGATGTTTTTGTTGGCGAGGAGTAAGTGGTGGCTGCTAAGAGAGGACTGTATTTGTCTTGAGAACGAAGCTAGACTATGTACAGATGAATATAGTAATGAGGAAAAAGAGCTGTGTTATTACTACTACTCTGCAATGCCACTAAATCTCTCTCACCCGTCTACTTTCTTTCTACACATACCCAACATTTCCCCAGCCTCCTATCAAAACCCACACAGGACACATGGCCTAATGGTAAGGCGCCCGCACACAGTAGCTACACGCCGCCCAGCAACCTCTAGCTACCCTCTAGTTTGTTGCCGGGCGCCCGGCGAGCATAGCTACATGCTCCAAGCTTTTCCAGCTTTAAGCTTATTGACTCAGCTCCGCTGGGTGGCTGTGATGCGGGACATGCAAGTTCGAGTCTTGCTGTGTCCATACATTTTTGCTCCTTTTGCTGGCAGTGGGGACTGAGATCGTTGGGTGTGTATAGTGGCTGCGGAAGAGTGGCATGCGTCTCGATGGTAAAGGTAGATCTTAGTGTTTTCAAGACCACTGACAGCGCTGGTTTACGTAGTTCCACTCCATAGCGCTCATGATGCCGTACCAGTGGGCCACAGCGCTCAGAACAATGAACACATGGAACAGCTGATGTGATGCGCCCCAAATATCGTATCTCTTCGGTTTCCAAGATTCTGGGAAGTGAGTCTGTTACACCAGTCAACGAAGGTTCGGTCTTGAGAAAAAGGACGTATCGATGAACATGCTAGCCTTACCGCATAGAACCCAACTCCAATTAGTATCAGAATACCCTCGAGGTAGTAATAGCGCAAGCCAGTCTGTCTGTCAAGCTGATCATGACCGAAGATTGACACGCCATGCAAGATCGGCGCAAATGCTGAGAAGCCCGTTGCGATGAATGTTGATAAGCGTAAGGTCTTCCATCTTGGGCCGTGAAGACTGGGGTTGATAACCGTAGTCGCTGTCAGCGTTCCAAGCGTGATGATCTAGAAGGGTTAATCTAGTCATATGACATCCCATCATCACCGTTCTCTCAATAAACATACCATAGACCAATACAATTTCTGCAACCCGGGTTCGCAGTAGAACCCAAAATAGATGCCAGGTATAAATGATCCTACAATCTGCCCAATGATCGCGACATAATCCGCTTTAACCCACAAACTCGCATACCCCTCCGAATGGCATATCAGCGTATGATACGCTGCCGAAGTCCCAAAGCAGACCACGGAGGCGGTAAGGAAGATGCGGAAGACGAGTTGATCGCTCCAGGTCGCTTGAGGAAATCGCGTTGTGAAGTAGCGATCAAAGGAGTAGCTGGCCAGCAGAACGAAAATGCCGGGAATGAGGTGCGTGTAGATGTTTACTGTTTCGTTATGCAGTTGGAGTAGGCTGCGGAGGCAGAGGGGGATAGATTTTGTGACGGGCCGGTAGCCAGTAAGGATGTATGAGTTATGCGCGTACCAAGACGGCACCTCATGGCTATCCTGCAGTGTTACTGAGGTGTCAGGTCGCGATGTTTCTTGTGGTGGTGAGTCCGTGGTGCCGCGCGTGGCCATGGCGCAAGTACTCAACGAATAACGGTGTTGTAGCGACAAGGAAAAAGACGTTGAAAAGAGAGGGGTTATGCGAAAACGAAATGAATTAGTATGGGAATTGAATCGGCGATAGAGATGCGAGGGTTCGGCAATTAAATCCGTCAATCATTGCGGTATCATCATGTCGCTTGAGTCAGCGCGTTGGGCGGTCCGTTTGGCACGGACATTCTGCTCGGAGTTCTCAGCGCATCATTTTCGCAGATGTGAACATGACTGCTTTTCTCTCTAGACAATATAGTGGTGTGTGTTGGCGATGGTGATGGTGATGCCGGCACGGAATCGCGCGGTCGTGAGGGCAGGCATGACGTAAGGACTTCGAGGCATTTTCAATCGCAACGAAATGTGACCGCATATTTCCTTCTATTTCGAACATAGGCGATGTACATAGGATAGCTGCGTGACCACGCAAACTTGTTGGAGATGGTTACAAAGAAAGGTCAGTTAGTGTGTGAGAAGCCAGGCCAGGCGTGCTGAATGTAAAGGTATTGACACCCGCGCCCACGCTAGGTCGCCACATCCTGGGAGGTCGCGTCAAGCGCCGCAATCAGCCGAGCTACTTCCTTGCCCACGGCTGTCCTCATAAGACCACCGAACATTCTGCGGATCGACTTGCGGCAAAGATGTTGTGTAACAACGCCTTCAAAAATTCACTGCTGTCTGACTGGCTACCAGTTAAACACATGTGATGACCTATGCCATATGAAGCTAACTAGGTAGCATTTAGTCAGATTGAGTAGAGCAGGCCTAACAATATGCCGAGGAACAGGAGAGCTTAAGAGACGCGCAGTCGCATGCAGTGAATTCGCAAAATGAAGGTCCAATTTGTGAATACAAGAGAATAAGGATAGCAGAGTAGTTCCCGAGACGTTCACCACGAATCTACCAAAAGGTATACTCTTGACTATGAATTCGGCGTAGGATATCGTCGTACGTTCCTCAATCAGGTTGGCAGCACAGTCACGCTAAAAAGCATCATAGGTAACCAGAGTACCACATTGCATCGCCATGTCTTCCTCCTCTGCCACTACCGCAGCTGAGGAGATTGACATAGAGACCTTGCTACCAACGTACCTCCAGCCGCGGCGCGCCTACACCTTTCCATCTATCGAGTCTCTTCCTTACACCGACCAAGCGTACTCACCGAGGCTTCAGCGATCGATCAGACTTGCTGTGCTACCCGACTCGGGTGTGGAACGGTGGTTTATCTATCTTGTTGGCTTCGCTACTATCAGTGGACTTGTTGTCTCTATTGTTGCTATTGTGGTTAAGTGAATTCGTGGAACCAAATTACTATCTCAACGAACAGACTGAACCAGGACCCGGCCTCAGTTTGAGTCAAAGGCGGACCCCATGGTTTCTTAATGCGTTGAAGTGGTGGTTGCGCTTCAAGATATCAAAAGGAGACATCAAATGAAGCCTCACAAGAAGAAAGGGCTTCGAGTGCGTCTATATAACCTATGGCTGGTTCAGATAAGCTACGTAATAGTCGTTTGATGTATTTCCGGACGGAAGCTTAGCAGCGCGGCTCTCATTCTAAAGTAACCTCAAGGCTGTCTAACCCGATAAAGGGTAGCTTGGTAAACATTGACGGTTGTGCGGAGTAACAGCCTTGGGATACGCATGCAGGAAGTCGGGTGAGCACTAGTAGTGCATGACAGTGTCTTATTGGCACAGGGGACGCTGCTGCGGCGAGCTGGCCTCGGAACAATCGACGGCCCGGCAGCCCTGGAGTGGTTGGGGCAGACGAGTAGGATATATCAAGATGCTCAGTAGGCGATAGAGACTGTCGAAAAGAGAAGAACCCAGGCTCCTAAGAAACGCTGCACTATTCAAGATCCCTCAGATTCTCGTGTTCCGCGAACTCTATTGACACAATTCACCTCTACCACCCGTGCGTGGGTCTCAGGTAGCCTATGGCTTTAGCACGGCGCTAACTGATCACGATTAGATCCAGTCCCATATCGCATCGCCATGTCTACTTCCACCAGCACGACGGCTGAGCAACTTGATGACGAAACCCAAGTATCTCAGCTGGCCCACGACGCATTCACACCAGTTCGATCGATCAATACCGACTCGACGCTACCGACGCACATCTTACCACCACGCGCCTTCACTCTACCTCCTGCCTTCGACCCCGATTTCAACCACGACAATCGAACAACGGCATCGAGAGCCAGAGCTGCTGTTGTAATCAAATTTACGGAAGGAACATGGTTTTTACACGTTGAGAAGTACGCCCCTGTTATTGGAATTGTTATCCCTGTTATCGCAATCGCTGTTACAGTTGTTGGAATTGTAGTCGGAGTTGTTCTTGCTGTTGCGGTGAAATAAGTCATGTAAAGAGACGGTTCGAGTTCGTAAGCGGTGTCGCATCGCTCAAACTCCGGAGTTCTCAGAGCTACTTAGGTACCCATGAAGAATGCTCGTGAAGTGTGACGAATTGAATTGTTGTCAGGATACCCAGTGAAACTTTTGCGAGGAAGACAGAACTTTGAGTACTTCCAAAAAAACCAATACTTACTCTCGCGACTGACGCGACAGCTTATATGTGTGCGTGAGGTTTAGATAAGAAGATGTATGAAGTGGCTGGTTTCCTCGAGAGTCGACACGCCTAGGTGTGTAGAGAGGAAGAGACGACAGGCGCTGCGGAATCGCGCGGTTTTCGGGGCCCAACAAGCCTGCATGACGTCAATACCTAGTGCGCGACCAGCCACGACCTTGTGTCTCCTACCACTACCGATATGAAACCCCATGTAAAATGATCGCGGGATCCGACCATCTACCTTT